GGCCTAGGATAACGAGGCTTATCCTTCTAATAGTCGAGGAGCTATTACAAATTCAGCACTATGGACGCATACGTGTAGTTGGAAAACCAGATCTGGCCATTTGAGGGAAAATGGAACATTTTGAGAGTGGTGATTTTTTCTTCAGCTGATTAGTGACTTTTTGGTAGAACTTTGTGGTCGCCTGCATAATAAGACAACAATTTTTCTAAATAATAATTTAAACTGGAAATTGAAATTTAGATATAAAGGCCTAAAGTGTGAGTGTGTGTGGGCGTGCACGGTTGAGGTGCATCCTTTGTGTCCCCTTCTGCCTTTTCCCCTCTTCCCCCTCCTCCCCCTTCTCCCTTGCTCCCAATTTTGTTTGGGTTTGATTTGGAGTTTTTGTTTGTTTTGTGAGTAACTGTCTTTATGTGTAAGATTTAACAGACTAACATTTCCTCTTATGTGAGTAGTGTTTGTTTGTTACTTCAGGTTTTGCATGTAAGTGTTTGTCTTCTGTGTCTGGGACTTAACTGACTAAACTAACAGACTATAAGATGAATAGGAAAGGTGGGAAGAGAGAGCGAGAGAGGAGTCAGTTTCAGGTAGGAAAAAGAAAGGGTGGTAGTAAAGATAGAAGCAATGATTTATGCTTAAAATGTCACAAGAGAGGACACTGGAAGAGGGATTGTACAGAAAGTGTTGAGTATGTTAGGAGAAAGACTAACGAAGTAGCAATGGATAATTGTAATGTTAACAGCAGGTTAGAATTAACACTTGATTTTTGTGAAGAACACATGCCTTCACTCAGTCTGGGAAAGCTGAGTGATTTAAAAAACATTTTAGATGTGCAGGGAAAAATGTTGAAACAGCAGAAGAAGTTTCTAGATGCATGTATTAAGATGAGAGAATGCAAAGAAGTCATGAGTGAGTCAACATTAATGTTTTCTTCTGTTTCTGAGTCCATCACAGCCAGTCAAAGAGAGACACTTGGGGGCAGATCATCTGATCCTTCCCAGCCACAGCCACTGCCTCACTCCACTCCAACCAGGAAGACAGGTCTGGGAGCAGAGTGCATCCAGATGGGGAGGAGGGAGCCAAGCAGTGGCACAAAGAAGCAAGGCTGCTTTAATTGTGGTTCTTTTGACCATTGGGCACGAGAGTGTTTTAAACTTCACAGATCAATTACAAGTTCATGTGCTGTGGATGGGAACGACGAATCAGACGCCTAAGAAGTCCTCTCTGACTAATGCTGACTCAAACAATCAGATAAGTGGGAAACACTCTGAAAATAAGCAGTTTAATTTTTCAGATTTGAATAATAAATATGTTTAGTTTCATTTGAAGGGTTTAAATTCAACAGTAAGGGAAGTTACTGTAGCATGTTTAATGTTTACATCAAAGAAATGTAAATCTGTTTGATTCTGAATATAACTAGTTATACATTATTTCAATAGTTAATTGTGATGTTTTCATTTCTGACACAAGAAAATATACAGTAATATGACTGTTTTCAGCAACAGTTTTCATTAACTGCTAAGGTTTTCTTTTGGGTTTACTGAACTAAGTTTGAAATGTATTAACAAATGTGTACTTTGTGTGTTTTGTTTGAGGGAAACACCTAAAACACCACTTTTGATGCTAAAAAGCTCAGAGTTCATTCCTGTGAAGGAGATGCCCACTCCCACCCCCACCAATCATCAACCAGCAAATCAGCAGGCCAAAGCAGGCCAAACCAAGCCAAACTAAGCCAAATCAGCAGGCCAAACCAGGGCTAAATGCTGCAACGACAGAAGCAATGATGCAAAGGGTCATCCAGAGGTCAGACTCAAATCAACAACTTGACTGTGTGTGTTTGGGACATTTTGCAGATTTCCAAAACATCTGAAAGACTGGGTTGACCGAAGACATCACCTTTGTGCAAAGATCTGAGGACTGGAGGTTTCCAGTTTTTGCTGTCGGTTCTAAAGTGTGTGAACAGGACAGAGGCTTCTGGACATGATGGGGCTGTGCTGGATGGTGCTGGACATTGCTGGCTGCAGAAGACATCAGGCTGTGGGCGTGTCTACAACAGGCGTTACTGGACAATAGGCTTTTTGGTGTGAGGTGTAATTTGCTAACCAAAGTTGACACATTTCAAGTTAATACATTTCAGGTGAAAACATTCCAGGTTAATACATTTCAAATGAACGTTTAGTTTATACATTTTGATGCTACATTAATTTACATGAGTAAATTGGGTATTTGTGTCTTTTTCATTTCATACACATGAATAATTAGGAATTATGTTTAGTTATCGAGCCATTTTTAATGTCTCAAACAGGGGGGAGATATGGTTTATGGGGGAGCAATTACATATGAATATGAAATGATCTCTAAAAAACTTTTTTTTGAGTTCTTTTCTCTGTGTGTTTCTGTAACCAATGTGATTTTTATAAGACACATGTGAAGAGGGGTCTCTAAGTTGAGTCGATGCAACTTGGATTCAAATGTAATACTGTGTTTGTATTAATTTCATTGTGTTCCATCTTTAAGTTGGTTTACTAAATATTGAATGTGATTAATTCTTTTAATGAAAAAAAGGAGGGAATGTTAGTAGAGTTGTTGGATTTTCATTAAAGTGAATTAGAATATATTCAAGGTTTAGATAGCTACTGTGTGGTGGGATGGAGAATTCTCTCCCAGCCCCCAGGCAAGAATGTATGGAATCATCACCAAGTCATGAAACACAGGAAGTTAAATTAAGAAGAGTGCAGAAAACATCTGTTTAGAGTAGCCTCAGGCTTATTTACACAGGGGCTATTTGTTTGTCCTGAAACAGAGAAGGTATTGTCTTCACCTAAGGATGGTGGGACATATGGTCACATGTGTTTCAAATTATCATGGTATAAGACGAGAGCTCTTTGGTTCATTCTTTGTCACTCTGCTGCTACATCCAGCAGAGACCCAGACTAGACTGTAGTCTGTAACTTGTCTGTTTGTGCTGATGTCCAGATAACCTGTAGTTTTGAACCAGCGGCTGACAACATGTATTCAAGAGATTATGTTGTTGAAATGTGACTAGTTTATTCACAAGCGTCCTCCTGTGGACTCACCACCTGCAGAGGGTCAGTGAGGGGCTGGTGCTATGAGACTTGGGTGGCATCTCTGACTGCCACCCCCCTGACCCAGAAATGGATTAAAGGGTAGAAAATGGATGGATGGATCATTAACTTGCAGCGTTGATGGTAAGATATTATTAATATGGCTCCCATAACTCATTATAAAGCTAATATTCTCAATAAAAACGCAACTATGTAATTTCATGTATTCTAAAATTGGAATTCAACTTTACTTTGATGTAAATTCCCAAATGTGTTTGAAACCCCTTCTCTGAGACATGGCACAGAAGCATGATCTCATAGGCTCCAATCGCTCAAAGTCTTGTTACGTCCCCTACACACCTCACGCGTCAGTTGAAGTTGAAAGACTTGTGCAGCAGTGTGCATACTCCAGGCTTCCTGCAGCAATTTCAAATGACTTGTTTGCAAATAATTTGGACAATACTCATTCTCAGAAGTCTTGAATTATTATTACCAAATATGTTCAGAAATACTTTGTTCAAAGACACACGCTGCGGCAAAATCGCTCAAAACAATCCATTGTGTATGGCCCAAACTGAACTCACAAGACGGTCGGTATATTTTGCACGCACGCACACGCACCCACACACACACACACACAAAACCAAGCACACTCAGGCGAAGCGCGCCTGCTCCCGTCGCTCTCCCCCCGCAGGGCCCGGGCTTTCTCCTGCGTCCTCGGACTCCCCCGCGACGCCTCCCCGGGCTCCCGCACACGCCCGTGCCCCCGGCTCTGTTGCTGCTCCCGTGGCGGCCTCGGTTGTTCCTGGCCCTGCGCTTCGCTCGACCTGCTCCTTCCTCGGCTGCTTCCGCAGCGGCTGCAGCCCAGGACCGTGCTCTCCACTGCATGCGTACGGACGCCATCCTGTCTGCCGTCTCCTACCTCCAGCGCTCCGTGGCCCAAGTGCGACAGGCAGGTGGCGGCTTCTGATCTCGTCACTGCGGTTGTGAAGACCGCGGATCCCCGCCTGTCCCACGAGTTGTCCATCGTTCCTTGTCGCTTTCGGGGTCTTGTGCTCTGTTTATCCCGAGCGCAGGCTGGAGCTGGACTCTTATCTGAGCTTGATGGGGGACCTGGCCCTCAGAAACGGGGGTAGCATTTTGCTACCGCTACCACAGGGACTTTGCAGCCAAGGCCGCAGTCCTCATCACGCAGGCTAACTTTAGAGCGGACTGGGCGGCGTTGGACACGGAGGTTGCTGATGTCCATCGGTGGTACTCCCGCGGCCTCCTGCTCCCGGTGCGGCGCGGCTGGGCACAGCTCTCCCCTCTGCTCCAGTGTCCCCTTTGAGTACGTCGGGGGCGGGCCTTCCTGGCCCCGCAGGTCTCCCCCCCCCGTAAGGCGGAGGTATACAGTCCTGCTCCCATATGTAATAGTTTCAACATGAGTGTCTGCACCTATCACCCGTGCTCATACCTCCATATTTGCAGTCTGTGCAGGGAGGCCCATCCCCGCTTCTTGTGCCCCTGGCGCAATCCGTGAGGCCGCCGTTTTGAGGGGCCTTCGTCCAGGCCTTGATCAGGGTCCCTCTCGACCCCCGTTCAACCCCGCCCAGGCTCGCCCACGTGCTCGTGCTCTATCCCGATAGAGCGTTCGTCAACTTCCTCCTGTCTGGCCTGGCACGGGGCTTCCTTCGTCTTTCGTGTCCCGCAACCTGCTGTCTGCTCTCCGCGAGCCCCACGTGGTCATGCGGCGCGGGAGGTGTCCAGGGGCTACATCATCAGCCCCTTCTCCAAGCCCCCCTTCTCTCCTTTTTGCTCTAACCCGCTGGGCATCGCCACCCGTCATAAGCGTCATATATTCGACCTCTCCCAACCCCGCTCCAGGCCCACCCCAAGCATTAATAGTCTTATCCCTCTCGAGCCCTTCTCCCTGTAGTATGCGACGGTGGACCACGCGATCGGGTTGATCAAGGCTCTCTGCCCGGTTCCTGGCTCTCCAAGGCCGACATCACGGATGCATTTAAGCTGTTGCCCATTCACCCCGACCACTGGCACCTGTCCTTCGGCTGCAGGAGTAGTCCCTCCTTGTTTAATAATCTTTCGGAGGAGCTGTGTTGGATCCTGCTTAATTGTGAGCGGCTTCCTTCTGTCTTCCATCTCCTCGATGACTTCCTCCTGGTCCATCTGCTCGCGGACAGCTCTGGGGGCTCTCTCCGCAAACTCAGGCTCGCCTTCTCGGCCCTCGGGGTCTCCCTGTCCGAGAGAAGACCACTGGCCCGGCCACCGCCTTGGAGTTTCTCTGCATCAACCTCGACACGCGCACCACGAAGGCCTCCCTCCCGCTGGACAAGCTCCAGCGCATCTCTAGTTCTCCCAGTCTGCCTTGTCCTCCCCGTTGATGTCCAAGTGCCAGCTGCTCTCCCTTATTTTATTTCCAGGTTCCTCGCCCTCACCGGTTCAGTCCCCTCCCTCCACGACACTGTCTCCCTGGAAGCCGGGTGCCGCTCTGACTTGGAGTTCTGGTCCTGACTGCTGAGCCGCTGGAACGGCGTCTCTTTTTTCTACAGTGACTTCGTCCGTTCCTCCGATACCTTGCGTTTCTTCACTGAGGCTGCCCCATCCATGGGTTTTGGAGGTTTTTACCAGGACCAGTGGTTCGCCGGGCCGTGGCCCAAAACTTTACCTCTGAGCATCTCTTCTGCCCTCCACGAAATATTTCCAGTAGTAGTGCCCTGTGCGCTGTGGAGCCACACGTGCCAGAGGATAAGGATCTTGGTGATGTGTGACAATCTGGACGTTGTAGAAATAATACAGTACATAAAGGTTGCTCTTCCTCTCCTCAAGTTATGTCCTTTCTCATACGCATCACATGGCTCTCAGTCTTAAACAACTTCATCATCACTGCACGACATGTTCCTGGTCACCTTAACGGGCATTGCTGACTGTCTCTCTCGCTTTAAATTCCAGGAATTCCGGCGCCTCTGCCCCTTGGCCAACACGATGCCATGCAAGATCTGCCATGGAGTTCCTCGCCTTGGACTAGTCCCACCTTCTCTCCGCCTTCCCCTCTCCTCTGCTTCTTCTTACGTGAAAATGGGCCTCTCGCATTCTACGCTATAAACATACAGCTTTGCTTGGAAAGTCTATTCCCGCTTCTGCTACTCACACCACATTCCTTTAATTCCGCCTGCCATTCATACAATCAGCGCTTTCATAGTTCACTGTGCTGACAATCTCCATTTCAAATCTCCTACGTTCGTACCTTGCTCGCTAGGATCCAATTCCAGGCCCGCTGCTATAACCCTGCCCTCCTCTCCTCTCTTTTCTCAGAGCCGTCAATCAAACTCCTCCTCAAAGGCATCCACAACTGCACCCCTCATTTCTCGGACCACAGGCGCCCCATCACACTGTCCATCCTCCAGCAGCTCTTTGCCGCGCTACACTCTGGTCCATTCTCCAAGTACTTCTCTGCCCTGTCTAGCGTTTTCCTTCGAGCTTTATGGCTTCCTTCGCACAAGCAAATTCACTAACGCTCACGCCATCTTCAATGCAGCCCGAGACACGGCTTTTTCCGATCTGTCATATTATCACGATTATTTCAACCTTCACCTCAAACATTCCAAACGCAAAGGCGCCTGCAACATCGTCATAGCCCGTTCCAACACATCTCCCTGTCCTTTTAGATCCATGATGCGATACACTCGCCTCCGCTCTCAAACAGGAGATCTTAACGGCCCGTTATTTCTCACTCCTGACAACCTATGACAGGTCACTAGTTCAGAGCCCAACTCAAATCCATACTGCTACTATGTAATCTGTCTCCCCATCTCTACACAGCTCACTCCTTCAGAATAGGCGTAGCTACGAGCGCGGCTTCGCTGGGTATCCCCCATTCTGCCCTTCAACAGCTGGGGCGCTGGTCATCCTCTGCCCTCTCCGCTTACATAAGGCCAGACACTACGACTATACTGGTGGCCCAGTGCTCACTGGCATCCTCGTAAGCACTCTCAAATGTCCTAGTTGTGGCAACACGTTGGTCTCGCGCTCATTGCTCACGGCTTGCGCTAGTTCGTTCTGCCAAACCCATAGCAAACTCACAGCCTGTTTTGGGGGATTGTAAGTGCACACAAGCAGGAGCCTTGCAGACCAAGTGCCGCTACCGGGGTCTAGGTACCAAACAATCTATGAATAAAACATTCAAATGCATTTTTGTCTCGTAGTCTCTCCAGATTGAAATGCAGCCTAAAGCATAGAAATTGCATAGAAAGCCCCAAAAGTCAGCGTCCTGGTCGGTCGACCACACAATTACGTGGTCTGACAACCCCTCCCACACTGAGGAGATACTTGGAGGTACCATTTTTTATGGAAAAAGCACCCACACTCGGCCGCGCCGTGCCGTGCCGTACCGTGACTATGGAAAAGTGGCAGTAGACTGTATGCTGCCTGGTGATTTTGTCACGTTGAGCACATGAGCGAGATTGTTTTGTTTTACCGGTGGAGAAGACATGCACACCATTTTAACTATACGTACGTAAGCCAACTCACCCTCGAACCTTTTAAAACACGAGCAGAGTCAACACAATCTACGGTCAACACACAAATATTAAACTAGTTGCTACAGAGCGTCTCATCAAAGCTGCTGCCGCCTCTGACAGCACAACACCGACACGCAATAAGAACCTGGATGATGCTATCAAAAAACCTCAAAGAAAAAAAAAATTACTTAGGTGTACATTGTAGAAGAGATGCCGTATTTCAGACACATTTCACGTAAAATACAAAGTGAGGATGGATTGGACAGTCTAAGTGACAGAAAGATCATTGTAAACAACTATCTGTAGAAGTGCTAGAGCAGGAAGGGTCCTGGCTACTTTAACATTAATTTACTTTCATGTTAATGTACTGCCATTTGTGCCACTTATTTGTAGTTGACCTTTATTTAAATTACTTTAAAAGAGCAAACGTACAAATATGATTCTATTCTCTTTTTTGTGACACAAAGTAATCCAAAAGTAATGCAACTTAGTGACTTTCTTGCAGAAGTAACTAAGTAATATAACTAATAACTTTTTTTCAAAGTAACTTGCCCAAAACTGTTCAAGTGATGTCATTCAGACTCAAGATTTGAACAAGAGCAATTATCACAATTCTAAACAATACATTGTCATTTATAAGGTTGACACCTTGCAGCCCAACTACTTACCACATGCTTTCGCCGCGATGACACACAGCTCCTCTGCTACATACTCTCCAGCTGGGAATGAGAGGCGACTCCCTTCGCTACCTTCTCCTTTGTGTTCTTCTTTGGTGGTTCCAGGGTGGTAAAGGTGGACACTTAAACATGTAGTGTCACTCATTTCCAGTTTAGTGAGGAGTCCAGCAACTATGTTGAGATCAGGCCCCTGTCTGGTGTGAGGAGCCGGACAGGAGATTATACCTGACATGTCTGCAGGGTCCCAGGTGACCAAGGGGACATCTATCTACAGAGGGAGAGAAAAAAGCAATGTTACTGAATGCAAGTATACAATTGAACACCAATGCTCACTGGAGAGCAGCTGCCTTCAGAAAACAAAAAGGATGAACCAAAACCGTTTTTGGTAAAATTCGGACTATAAGCCGCAGATTTTATTCTGCATAACGAAGGATGCCAATTTTTTTTCTGTGGCGGCAATTAATTTGTATGATCAGAAAAAATACAGTTTAAAAGTCCTCACTTATAATAAATCCAGTAGAAGATTAAGAACAATCAGTGACTCACTTCTTACTCTTATTACTCATAAGAGTAATTATTACTTGTTTGGTGTGGTATATCTGGGCCTCTATCTCTCTGGTGCTCATATATATATATATATATATATATATATATATATATATATATACACATACATACATATACATTATATATATATATATAATGTATATGAGCACCAGAGAGATAGAGGCCCAGATATACCACACCAAACAAGACCCAAGGTGTCGGTTGTGCAAAGAGGCACCTGAGACGATCCAACACATAACTGCACGGTGCAAGATGCTGCAGGGAAGGCCTACATGGAACGCCATAACCAAGTGGCTGGCATAGTGTACAGAAACATCTGCAAGCAACTTTGTCAAATTACAACAGACTACAGACAATTAAGTCACAAAATGCAACACTGCGGTCTCTCTGTGAGGTTTATGTATTGAGAAACTTCCTCAGTTGTCTTCCTGTGAGTACTTGTTGTGGGGCTGTCAGATCCTCCCTCTTCAACTTGCTGATAAGAGAAACCTTTTGTTAAACAGTGGCACAATAATTAGAAAACATGGATCAGTGTTGTAAATTATACTACTGCATTCCTCTCCTGCAGTGAAGTAAAAAAAAAATAAGAATAAAGTGAATTCAAATGAATTGTTGACTAGCATTCACCTTGTATCTTCTAACACTATTGTGTATTTCTGAAAGTTTGAAATGTGTGGCTCTGTCAGGCGTTCACATACAAAACGTTTTTGGGGGGGGGGTTGGGTGGCTTCAGGCTTATCTGTTTGAGCTGAAGTAAAACTGTTGAGCTGCCTGCACATTTCTACACAACACAGGTTGTGCAGTTCGTAGTGACAAAACAACAAGCACAAGTTGAAAGTTCCAGATTCAGATTCAGTTTATTTGCCATTTGCAGTAAAAACACCACATTGGAATACATTAGCAAAAAGTCTCCAGTGTGCACAGACAAATACAGACAATAAAAGACAGAAATAAAACAAATAAAACAGTAAACAAATGTCACTGTGAAATTGATCGACTAAAACAGTTTCAAAACAAGTGCAAATCATTAAAGTGCTCTGTTCACACTGATAACAGCCTGTGGATAAAAACTGCCGCGCTGTTTACGCCTACTGTGTAAATTCCCTGTGATGTAACGAGATGTCCTGCATCTCAGAGAGCGATATCTTCTGCCAGAGGGAAGAAGCTGGAACATGGCTTTCCCAGGGTGGCCAGAAGAGTCATTAACAATCCTAAGAGCTTTGTTAAAAAGTGTGGATTTATAAAGAACCTCCAGAACAGGAAGCTCACAGCCCACGGTCCTCTTTGCAGAGCGGAGCACCTTGTTTAAAGCTCTCTTTTCTTTATCTGTGATGTTTCCAAACCACACAGACACAGAACCAACAAGTAAACTCTCAATGGTGCAGCCATAAAAGTTAAGCACAATCTTAGAGTTAGTGGTAAATTCTCTAAGTTTACGCAGAAAGAGACGTTCCCTGCTGGCTTTCACCCAGAACTTACACCAAACCCTGGAGTCATCTGTTTTTAGACCAATCAGTGACATATTTGGAAGAATTTAGTGAATCAGTCCACTCTCCGCGTTATAATTAGAATGGTTATATTAACAATTTATTTGTTAGATCATTCGGTCAAATTTCTCATTTAAGTCAATGTAAGGAAAACAAGATTGATACTATTTAAATCATTGATTAGCTGTGATTAGTCAATTCACTTATTAAAACTCTATTTTGCATAAAAGGCAAAGATAATATTCAGCTAATAACTGCAAAAAAGAAAATGGTTTGCGAGTAATTTACAGTTCTTAGACAAATATATTTAAAAACAGCAACAGCAATCAGTCAATCCGCACTGCCAATCCTCACCTGGCAGCATTAAGCATGACCGCGCAGGAAGCTTCATTCAAGCACCAGCTTTCATTCATGCAACAACCCTCCTCCTCATCATCACCGCCACACCAGCTTTCATCCTTCTCCTAGCTACCAGCACCATGGGCCAAGGTTCCGAGTCAGTTTAATTGCAGTCCAATAATCCCACTTTTTTGTCCAGTCTATTCAATGTGTATGTAATAATAATAAAATAATAATAATAATAATAATACATTTTATTTACAACGCATCATACATATGCGATGCACATCTCAAGGTGATACAGCAAGTTAAAAACATGATCAAAACATCAGAAAAAAACATGTACAGAATATAAAAATGCATAAAAAGACATTCCTTCTTTGGAATGTCTTCAAGGCCTTCCTGAACATCTCTGTTTTAAGATGCTTTTTGAAGCACTCGACAGATTGTGGGGCCCGCAGGTCTTGTGGTAGAGCATTCCATGGGAGTGGAGCAGCTATAGAAGAAGTCCTGTCCCCCATGGAACGAAGCTGTGCAATTGGCTGACTGAGACGATGTGGACTGTAGATTGAGAAGGTCTTTCGGGTATTCTGGAGCTGTGAATGCATTGGTGAGTGAGAAGACAGATTCTAGATTCTATACAGAGGTGTATCGGTAGCCAGTGGAGTTTATGGGGGACGGGGGTTATGTAGTCAGACTTGCGTGTCCTCGTCAGGACCCTGGCAGCACTGTTCTAAATATGCTGAAACTTTTGAAAGTTTCTGCCAGGGATCCCAACAAGGAGGGCATCACAATAGTCCAACCTGGAGGAGATAAAGGTGTGGACCAGCTTCTTAGCATCACAGAGGGAAAGAAAGGGGCAAAGTTTGGCAATGTTTCTTACATGAAAGTAGTCAGTTTTGGAGAGATGTTGGATGTGTAGATAAAAAGTGAGGTGGGAATCAAACCTGACACCAAGTTTTGTAACCAAGAAGGAGGGGGTAATGGTATGGCCAGAGAAACGAATGCAGTCTACAGACAGAGAACGGAGTTGATGGGGGGGGTGCCAATTTGGTTGTTTGTTTTTGTGATGTTCAGCTCGAGAAAGTTCTGAGACATCCACGCCTCTATCTCCTCCAGAGTGAGTGCAGTAGGGGTAGAGGGCAAGGCTAGGTCCAGTCTCACATAGAGCTGAGTGTCATCAACAATGACACTCGGGAAGGACATTCCATGCCTGCCGATGACGTGGCCCAGGGGGAGCATATACTGTAGATGTTCAACAGGGCGGCATGTGCGTAGGTTTCCTCCAGGTACTCCGGTTTCCCCAACCACTAAAAATATGTACAATAGGTCTGGCATGTGCCTCCTGTACTATAAATAAACATTACTCACTTACGTGATCCGGCAGTGGTTAGTGCTCTTGAAAAGCGTTTTTGATGGACCCTATAAGCCAGATTGTGAACAGTTAAGTTGCTTTTCACAGCACAACGTGCAAGAGCTGCTGTTTTTAATTGCCAAAGCTCACTGGTAAACAACGGTGCTGGTTTTAGGAGCGGTTATCTGCATTACTAACCAGGTAATTATGTCTAGGTTAAAGTCTGTATGATTGATGTTTTTCAGGTTTCTGAATGTTAAAGGTACACTGTGTAATATTTAGTGCCATCTTAGCGTTGAGATCTACAACACAAAACAAGGTTGTCCTACTGACTTTCACACACAACACCCTGCACCCCCACAGCATACGATTCACCTACACTGATTACATGCAGATTACTTCATTTTATTTACAATAAAAGCCACATCAAGGGTTTAAATCGCTCCAGTTGTTGTGTCCTCCCTCTTTTGTTGCGGGCCGTAACAGTAGTGTATACAATATACAATATCAGTTCAGTTTATTAAGATCCCCATTAGCTGGAATGGATGATAAAAACCGCCAACTACAAAAAAGTGATTCTTAGGTTACACCAACAGCAAGGCCTTTTCCTTAAAATATGGACATTTCTATCTACCATGGAGTCAACAAAGTACAAACATATTTTTGTTGTGGGATGTTGGATGGGGAATTGTGGAAACCCCAACTTCCATAAGAGATGTTGCCATTTCATAGACATATTTCACTAAAGAAAAGAACATCTGCTAGCAGTATCAGAATATAAACCAAAAGTTAGGGGTGGGCAATAACGATATATACTGTATTGCGATAGACACGCATTCAATATCAATAGAAAATGGGGTCGATAGAATGTTTCGATAGTTTAACTTCACTTTGCTAGAAAAAAAAAAGAGTCAGAAGCGCGCTCCATTCTGGGGGACGTAGGCAGAGGCTTCTCAATCTATCACGGCCAAGCATGAACCGCAAGGCATTCTGGGAAATGCACACAAAACAAATAACTACAAACAACAACCGGACCATGCGTTGTGTCCATCCACGTCCGTGCGAGGAATAGCATTCGCGGCGCAGCCGAGGTAATGGCGAGCGCTAACTTATTTTGAACAGTGGAGTAACCACGTAATACATGTTCATATCAGTAGGTGGCAGCAGATAGCTAAGTACTTTGAAACGTAGGAATTGGATGCGACCACTGTTGTGGCAAGAAAAATTGGACGCAACCGACAAATGTAAAAGATTTTTACATTTACAGAACCATGGACTCGTGCTCAGGACCATCTCCCGTGTCTCCTCCCGTGTCTCCTCCCGTGTCTCCTCCCGTGTCTCCTCCCGTGTCTCCTCCCGTGTCTCCTCCCGAAGTACAACCAAAACTCCTGAATTTAAAGCTCAGATACTTAAATTTTCCCAATGCATTACAGTGCATGTTATGTGTGCACAAAAGTAAAATGTGAAAAAATCAAACTGAACACACAACAGGCCATTTTTTCATTATTATTTTGCATATATAAGAGCCCTGTGAGTCATTGTTTGACTTTTTGGGCTGAGAATGGATTTTTTAAAAGTTTATTAGAATACTATAGTACAAGAATTGACCACTGTATTATTTAATAAACCTGATAGTCAGAGCTTTATTTTTGTTTATAAAGTTAATGAGATGAGCCTTTAGACAATAAAGGAAAACGAAAAATAACTTATTTTCCATTTAGCAATAATAAATAATGAACAAATTATGTAGAAACAAAGATGTTTTAATAGGAGTCCGCATTACCCTAATATTTTACAGATCAACTGCTCATGAAAGGGTCTCTACTCTCATTGAGCCCTCCCAGTATATAGTATAAATAAAGATAAATAATACATCAAAAACTTTAAATACAGTGCTCTGATGTGGCCACTTTACAAAGCACATGTTTAATGCAGGAATACAGTCAATTGTAGCCTCTAAATACACATGTTCTTCTTCCCAACACCAAAAATCAACATCCCATCACGGGTTGAGACCATTTCAAATGCACTTCACACAACAACATTAAACCCCTTTACCAAACTGAAGTAATGAAGCGGTTAGTTTGGCCACAGAAAGATAGCATCATGTACAGCTGAGTTTATCAACTTTTGTTTTTCTGTGTGGGTTCGTAAAAGAGACTGAATCGTAATAAGACGTACTTACACTGTGCGTGTCTGTTCGTTTGGCCGCGTCTCTGCAGATGCCTCTTCCAGGACAGCTAACAAACCCGAATCAGCGCCATTTCTCCTTTCTACATTTAAGCTTTCTTGCAGCTCAAAGTTTAAACACGTTTGAGACTCGGACAGGTTTATGAGATTGAGATGTGTGACCAGGAAGGAAACCACTGACGGCCCACGGAATGGGCGGAGCGCGCACCGCGGTAAAGTGGCCCGTATCTTTCAGCTCCAAGGTAAAGTGGCCCGTATCTTTCAGCTCCAAGGTAAAGTGGGCCGCATCTTTCAGCTCCAAGGTAAAGTGGGCCGCATCTTTCAGCTCCAAGGTAAAGTGGGCCGCATCTTTCAGCTCCAAGGTAAAGTGGGCCGCATCTTTCAGCTCCAAGGTAAAGTGGGCCGCATCTTTCAGCTCCAAGGTAAAGTGGGCCGTATCTTTCAGCTCCAAGGTAAAGTGGGCCGTATCTTTCAGCTCCAAGGTAAAGTGGGCCGCATCTTTCAGCTCCAAGGTAAAGTGGGCCGCATCTTTCAGCTCCAAGGTAAAGTGGGCCGCATCTTTCAGCTCCAAGGTAAAGTGGGCCGCATCTTTCAGCTCCAAGGTAAAGTGGGCCGCATCTTTCATTTCATTTTCATTTATTTATTTATTTAATATGGACATAGCAATTAACATTGGACGAACCAGATGCATTGTTTAAAGTGTTATAGCACAAGTGCTAATTTTCAACACCTGTCCATAGGGGGCTTTTAGGTTACAAAGATAAAACACATTAGGAAACAAGGTTACAATAAAACACATTATTAAACAAGATGAGACATGTTTACACATGGGATCAAGTTTGGCCCGATTTGAGCCACTGTTTCAGCTCCAAGGTAAAGTGGGCCGCATCTTTCAGCTCCAAGGTAAAGTGGGCCGCATCTTTCAGCTCCAAGGTAAAGTGGGCCGCATAGAAAAACACGGTGCGCGTTTTGTTGACTACTGTAATAGCAGAACAGCATTTCAGAGTCACCTTTTCTCATCTAAAGAAAGCACGCTGGGAGACCATGGATCTATTATATTAACACGTCTTTGTGAATAAAACCTTATATGGAAAGGATGTAAACACTTAAAATGTTCAAAATGTGGAACATTTTGAAATATCCAAAATACCCAAAATTGGACCAAAATTGTCATTTTTGAAAAACTGTACCCTTTTACTGTGAAAAAGGTGTGTGACTAATTTCTCTGGTTTCATGATCTCACTGATCCCCTCTGCCAACGTGCCAAAGACCAGACACTGTTACTGTGGACATTTTGAGAAATATTGAGCCAAAATACCCATTTTAAGTCAAAAAAACCCAATATTGGGTACATTATTGCGTACATATTCACATATGTGTATCTTAGGTATACGCAGCATCTGGAGAATTGTCTGATAGAGAATTAAACAAAAGAAATGCAACGGTAAAGCATCTTGAAAGGGTTAACTCATTTTTGCTGTCTGGTTTAGGGGCCTCAGCAGAAACGCCACCAGAATCAGCCTGACCACAATAAAACCTCTGCTTTCAACTGTGGAGAGGTGAGAAGGAATCTATACGCTCAGTGAAGTCGCTTGTGTTGTGGACCTGATGGTGAGTCATGAGTAAATTCTTTTGATTAAGCTTAGAAGAATATTTTGTGTATTTTTGTGTCAACTGTGAAGGCAGATTTAACTATATGACTGTTTTCTAATATCCATATATTTTCACCGAAAATTCAATCAAATGTTTGATCTCATGATACTGCCATTGTATGCAAATATATAAAATTTTAGTCTCGAGGACAATAAATAAAGTAAATATAGTCTTTAGTCACAACAGAAAATACAATTATAAATGAAAAGTGCAAATATAGTTTTTCAAACTGCATATGGAGTTACATTTTTGTTTTATTCTTAGTAGTATTGAAACACAATTAACTAATTTAGAAGAATGTTTCAACATTCTTTTACATTTTTAATAGATATTAGTATAGCAATAGTATTTGATGGCTTATCATCAAAATACTCCCTGCATAGTTTTGTTCACGATTTAATTTTTTGTTCCAGCTAGATATGCTTTACAAATTTTGCTGACCTCACCCTGGTTGATCTCGAACAGTGGTCTCATGTCCGAGCTGTGTCTTCAGTTCTGCCTCCCCTCACACCCTGCAGCTGTTCTACTCAACCTCAGCACTTTGAGAGAGGAGAGGCTCTTTTGCGACATCACTCTGCTGTTGGGAGACCCTTCAGCTGCAACTGAAGACCGCCTCTGTTTTCATGGACACAAAGTGGTATTGGCCGCAGCCTCAGACTTTCTGCGAGACCAGTTTCTACTTCATGAAGGTCCAGAGCTGAGCGTCAGTGTGGTTACTGATGTGGAAGTGGGGAGAAGATTACTACTGTCCTGCTACACTGGCGTCGTTGAGGTGATTGGACGTTTCCCACTTTTCCCAATACTATTGATTATTATTAATAATTATTATTAATAATTAATTAATAATAATTAATTATTATTTTACTCAGTGCTGTTTTTTTGTGGGCAAGAACCAGTCACATTGATTTTTATGATTCATCCAATGTTTAAAAAATATGAATGTCCAATTAATCATAATAAATTATGCAATTGCAATGTACAGAATAGTTTTGTTTCATTTGAACTGAAAAGCTGATTGTTTTAATAGGCAAGTCAATGCAAGTGGTAGCTTAATTTTTGTCCCATATTTTTCTGGTCAGGTCCCTCAATGTGGACTGGTGGCGTATCTCACAACAGCCAGTGCTCTGCAAATGCGTCTTGTGGTGGAAAAGTGCCTTCAAGCCATTTCCCTTTACTTTAGTCCCACCATGAAGAACCCCACGACAGAAGAGACTCAGGACAGCAAAACGGCTGATTCGTTCATTAATATTGACCCTCAAGGACAAAATAGTGAGGACGACTATGAAAAAAAAAGATGCTGCATGAAGAAATTGGAATTTGAAAGTGAAATCATGACTAATGACAAATCAAAACATTGTTGCCACAATGTTGAAAATGCTACTCTCAAACATAATGTTTCCACTTGCACCACATCAAACAGTCCGTGTTCGAATGATAAAGGACAGATGGAAAGTTGTAAATACAAACATGGTAGCATCAATGAAGTTCTTACAATTGAAGAAGCAGTGGCAAATCCCAAAACTGCAACACATTCAGATATACCATCACAAGGTTTAGACAAAGAGGTTAAAGTGCTCCTAAAGTCATATTTGTGTCAAGAATGTGACCATGTCTTCCAACACATGGATAGCTATGTCCAGCACATAAAAGACCACCACTATTATCAATGTTTAGTTTGTGACAAGAGCTTTTCCCAAAAAAAGGCCTTGTCTCGCCATGTTCATGCACATGCACCTAATAAGCCATACAGATGTCCTCTATGTCATATCACTTTCCCCAACAAGGCTTCACTGCAATACCACCTGAATCTGCACATAGGCTGCACAGAAGAGCCTCAACCCAAGCCTGAGGCGCCATCTAAAGGACACTTGTGAAAAGAGACGGGAAATGTTCTTGAGGCTGAATATTCAATATTCAATATACTTGTGTACTATTACTAATACCTGATCTAGACCTGCCTATTTGCGACCTAACCTAACATAAAACTAATTATTAATGTTAACATCACATGTGCTGTGTTTCCATGAACTACCCCATGTCATGTGAGTATGTTAACAGAAATAAAGTTCAATTCAATTACATGTATTTTTTTGATAGCCCTAAATCACAACAGTGGTCATCTCGGAGGACTTGTTGATTCCTCAACAACAGATCAGATAATCAAACAGGAAATACAGTAAGAACAAACAATTATGAGCCACTGGTGTTTTGGTGTAAGTGTCCATACATATCCATAAATATATGCCCAGGATCATCTCTGTCCGTAGATCCTACTGCATTGGTACGGAACAACTCAATAACCCATAGGATGAAATGAGAGTCCTCGGGAAGCCCACATTGAGAGAAGGATCCAATCCCGCAGACGGACAAGCAATAGATTCAGGACTCAGGCTGTAGGACGGGGGGCGGGGGTGGGGGGGTGTCTCCTGGGATCAGAGTGCAGGCTGTGCAGAAAAGAAGGGGCAATGGAGGGGAGTGCTGCCCTCGAGTCTGGGCCAGAACCCAGAGGCTGGTGCAGGGGTCCCATCATGAAACATACAATGGGACAGCGGGAGAATAGCAATGAAGTGACTACAGCTGAAGTCACACTGATGACAGATGAAGTAGGAAAGAGGAGTGATACTTCTCCCAGAAAAGTGTCTCCTTAAGCAGATTGACTGAGTTTTTTTAGGGTTTTATTTTCAAGGAATGTTTTAAGCCGAGCCTTGAATCTAAAGACTGTCTGCTTCCTTTTGAGGAGGATGGGGAGCTGATTTCACAGTATAGGAGCTTGGTAGCGAAACCCGGTCTGTGCTTCTTGAGACTCTAGGAACTACCAATCATTTGGAGCTTGTGCATTGATCGGTTTGGTCCATGTGATTCTAATGTGTCTTGGAGGTAGGATTGGGCATTACCATTTGCCTTGTATGTATGTGTAGGATTTATTTGTTATTTATTGTTTTAACAGTCAAGGATTTTATGTTTGATTCTATACTCCATGGGAAGCCAGTGGAGTGAGTTTAACACTGGTGTTATGTGCTCCCTCATTTTAGTGCTTGTTGAGATCCTTGCTACTGTATTTTGGACAAGAAGGAAGCCTTTATTGTCGGGCATGCTGCCAACAAAGCGTTACAGTGGTCAAGACTTGAGGTGACAAATTATGAAGCCTTATGAAGCCTATTCCTGATTTTAGCTATGTTGTGCAGATGGAAATATGCGGTTTTAATTTAATTGCTTGGTTTATATGTACCCTGAAAAAGTAATTAGTTACAAATTAAGTTACTTCTTAAAAAGGGTAATTTTATTGAAGACGGCATCTCTTCTACAACATACACCTACGTTTATTTGTTTCTGTCTTTGAGTCCAGTTTCTTGTTGCGTGTCAGTGTTGTGCTGTCAGAGGCGGCAGAAGCTTCGCTGAGACGCTCTGTAGCAACAACTTTCATAGTTGAGTGTTGACCATAGATTGTATTGACTCTGGTTCGAGGATGAGTTGGCTTACGTACGTATAGTTAAAATGGTGTGCATATCTTCTCCACCGCTAAAACAAAACAATCTCGCTGCCAATAGCATTTTTCTTTCACGGAGTTTACAGCGGACACTGATAATTGTGACCACGGCTGCTTCGTACTCAAAGTAATGCTGGTATCCTCGCTATTAAGCTTAATGTTGCCGCCTGTAATATTTACAATCTTTGTAACGTTTGAAGAGTGTCTGTTTATCAATCATACATCATTCTTTTGTCCAGACGAGTCGACGAGACAAAAAAGTCACAACCATGGATCTATAATATCAGTCACAACACGCATGGTTTTGTAACGCATTGTACACTGTTTGCTTAGAAGAAAGTAAATGTAATTACCAGGGATGCACCGATACCACTTTTATGAGTACGAGTACCTTAATTTGAGTACTTACCAATACCGAATACCAATACGAGTACTGCCTTGTGTTATGCCTGGGAATTCATAAAACGAATACAACCACTGGTGTGCGCCACCCTCTGTCCACGCTGCTGCTTTGCCTGGTTCTTCGGAGATGTCAAGCTCCTGATCTGGACCGGGGGCCGACAACAATGAAGGGGATTCGGTGAAGGCTTGCGACGAGGACGGCCAGTCCTTCCATTCCCAGGAAGGTGGGCAACGCGAGCACTATCCCCTGGATAGTTTCTCGCATCTGACCACATCGGGTGTGGTCATGACGCGAATGACGACGCTGGTCCAGCCCGCCTCGCCTTCGTTAGACTATCTTCAGTCCCTCACTCCTTCTTCCAGGCAGCGCAGGTGTGACATTGTCGCTCCCAGGATGGAGCCTCTGCTCCACTATGCCAGCCGCGAGTGGGATAGGTATCTGTCAGCCAAATCCCCGGTGCTAGCATCCGGAGTGTACACGGGAGTGGACGCCTGGCTCAGGCCGTCCCTGCTACCAGCTTCCTCTCTGTGGTTTGGACTGGCAGCTACATAAGCGGCGCCTTCTGAACTTGTCGCTGTCCTCCTCTTCCTTGTTTGGACCCGACATCCAGACCCTCGTGGAGCATATGGAGACAGCGTCCAAGACCTCAGTACAGCTCCTCGCCCCACTGCACGGCGTCCTGGTTATGTGGAGTGCAGCACCGCCCTGCCACCCCGCACAATTCAGAGCCTGGGGGCTCCCTAGGTCCAGTGCGTGGGAGACAGCGGGCTCGTGACCAGCGGAGGATGAGCGGCACCTACCCCAGCTTTGCAGCTACAGGGAGGGGAGGGAAATATCTAAACGCCACCAGCCCCGTTACTCCCACAAAAAGTACACTTCTTTCCCCCCTTCCTCTTCCTCAGCATTTGGCCAATGTTGCTCCTCTCCCAGGCGCCTGGAACCTCTCTCAGCGCGCTTCCGGTGCGCGCGCTGGAGGCATGCTCCCCGTGGCTTCACCTCTCTTGGGCAGAGAGTGCGTGGCTGCGCGCTCCCCTCCTACACTCTCTATGCGCTACGGGCACTTCCCTTGGCTGATGACACTCGTGCCATGGGGGTACCCAGGGGACTGGGTGCCTATGAACCCCTTTGAACCCTTGGACAATGCAACAATTGCGTTTGTCTTACAAAAGAGGCAATAGCTGCTGCATAGTCTCTGCCCGGTCAGGGCTGTGAGATGCTATTTGGGCCGCACGTCTGGCCTCAGGCGGTCAGATCAGTTGTTTGTGGGGTTTGGCAGCAGGAATCAGGGTGCTGCTCTGTTCCCACATTACTTGGCCCACTAGCTTTGCCTCGCTATCGGTTTGCCGTACGAGGCTCAGGGCTTGCCGCCTCCGGTCCAGTTCAGGGCTCACTCCACTCGCAGGGTTACCGCTTCGGTGGGACTGTTCAGGGGCCCTTTGGTGGAGGAGATCTGCAGGGCGGCGTCTTGGTCCTTCTCCTCGACCTTTGTGCAGTTTTACCTAATGGATGTCGCCTCTGACTCTGTTGCTCATTCGGTTTTGAGTGCAGGGCGGCCCTAGTCCCTCCTTCAATCCTTCACCGGAGGTGACCGGTCTGCAGGGGGTGGATTGTGTGGAGAGGTGTTGGTGCTCTTGGGAGAGGCGGCCTGGACACTTCTGCAGTGAGGATGGGTTTGACCGAGGTTTCTTTGGCGCTCTTAGGAGAGGCGGCCCAGGCCCTTCTGCAGTCTTTTTTACGTTCCTGGGGATCAGACGTTCTTACGAGAGGCTGCCTTCCCAAGTTGGTTCTTCCACTTTCCTGCCTTGCAGGTTGGGAATGCGCGGGCACTCTAACCCAACCTAGTAGTTTATTCAGTCGTTCAGTTGTTTCAGTTATGTTTCAGAACAAAGTTAGGATATGCTTTATATAGTCAATGTTACGTGTCACATCGAGAGACATTATTAGAGTCAAAAAAACAAGTGCAAAGCAGAAGTCAGCACCGGAACTCGATGTTTTGCCTGCATTTGTCCACTCGATGAAGGTCTATTGTGGTTATTGTTCTCTACTGTTCATAGATTTTTGGGTCATCCATGTTTTGAAATCCTATATGCAGGTAAAGCTGTGTGTCATCTGCGTAGCACTGGAAGTTAATGTTATGCTTTCTAATGATGGTAATGAAAGTGTAGCTTAACCTGTCTTAAATGTCTTTAGTGTTTGTGTATTTGAGAGTGATACAGGTGTGGCTTGAGTCTGGCCTGATCACTTGAGCATACTCCAGGCCTGATCCTTTTCTGAGAAGAACTCTGCAAAGAGTCAAGGGAATCAACTCCATAGGAGCTGGATTAGCTAATATGGCTGCCTGAGTTTTTGTCCCTGCGCAACCATCCTGGCTTTGTTGTTCTGGTCAGCACTAGATCATACAAGGAATCGGGACGGAAGCGGAAGTGAATATAACAAACTACCTATTCATGCCTAAACTTAACCAGCCATTCCCATAAAATAACCCCAACCCACCCTTAACCCTAACCTTAACCATCTTACTCAGACACCTAAAACTTAACCAGTCACCATTTAAGGACTTATTAGTCTAAAAATAATTTGAAAGTAGAAGTGTTACTTCCGATTTCGTCCCGATTCTGTATATGATCTAGAGTTGTTCTTGTTGTTCTTGCCTGCGTTCCGCCTCTCATACTTCATCAAATAAGTATTTTGATATTGGTTAGATACAAAACATGTTGGGTTTCTAAAAAAACATAAGGGTATTATTATGGCCCTTTTCTTAGTTGTGCTATTGCTTTATGTGTGTGCAGTGTTTTGGTCTCTTGGTTTGGTTTTTGTGTTACATTTGCTGTCAAGTTGAGTTTTAGCCAGTTTTGTTTCATAACCTTGTGTTTCTCCCTTTTGTATTTGTAATTTGCCCATTTGGTTTTGTTTATACATATTTTACATGCTTGTTTATGACATTGCTTACATTTACAGTTGTACACATTGGTTTTTGTTGCCTCTCTCACCCTAGCGAGCTGGGTTGAAGCATTCACTATTTGCCTACACCGACTGTGGCACCCGTTTTAACAGATCTGTCACACTGCAGTTTTAGCAGAAGTCCTTTCTTTCCTCTTTACCCTCCTCTGTGCTTCAGTCTGAGTCACGTGACAATCGCAAGGTTCCAGGCGGCGATCTGTGTCTTCACCAACAGCCCACGCCTCGAAAAGCGGCTTGTTCCGGCTGCAGCCTCTCTTCATCTTTTTTTATCCTGGCACAGCTCATAAAAATAGTGCCTGCGTTAGTTTGGTCTAACATTACGCACATGATTTGATCACTAAACGCTTGTTGATGCACAGTTGATGCTAGTGCAATGATTTTATCCCCAGTGTTCTATCCCGTTATATTCCCGTGTGAGAGAGAGCAGCACTGGCTCCATCACTTGCGGAGCGACATCCCTGGTTCGTCCACAAGAGGGCGTCTGGCGCTCCACTGACAAGGGGAGAAGGGGGCGGTGGACTGATGAATTTGGACCAAAAACATCAGTCTCTCACAGTGCGGCGTTCTCTTGTAGACACGAGAGGTATGTCCTGTTAAATGCGAGGACCCTTCGAATGAGGATGTCTGGTGTGGATGCGCACTCGTTGGTGACACTCAATATGTTTATTCTCGTGCTCGAGTGGAGAGCGTGAGGTAAGACACTTTTATCGAACCAGTTTGAGATAAATGCATTTTGACAATGTTATCTACAATGACACGTGTAACCATATTTTCTAGTACAAATGTCCATGGTGTAATTGTGTTCGGAGTCTATGTTAATAATGACTCGGCATGTTGAGTGTCTATTGTGGATGAATCTGAAAAGCCATAGACTCTGATTCGTGTAACAATAAGGAGTTTGCATTTGTTGTTGCCACGATGGGCACAGGTGTCACCTTTTTATAGTAAAAAACACAATTGTGACAAAGTTTATTTGAAAGTTTGCAACCATGGTTACTGAATAATCAGGAGCCCATGACATATGGTGTTGTTATAGCATTATCTGTGGTTGCAATCACACTTGTTTCTGGGATTACAAGTGTTAAAATGTATTTCTTTGTGAAGGGATGGGTTACCAAACAATACATTTTCTTTTCGATTGTAACAATATCACCTACATGCTCACTTTGTATTTATCCATCCATCCTTTTTCTTCCTCTTCATCCGTTGCCGGGTCACAGGCCAGCTGGGAGACATAGACCCTCCAGCGTGTCCCCGGTCTTCTCCGGGGTCTCCTTTTCCGGTGGTGGCCCGGAACAACTGGTTACTCTCAACGTGGAGAAGCAGCGGCTCTGTGTTGTGCTGTGGAGCTGTTGTTGCATTTTAATGCTGTTGTTTCTGCCCCTACTGGACACCTGAATTTCTCCTACTGGTGATCAATACAGTATATCTATCTATGTATCTACAAACTGAGCTCCTCACCTTATCTCCAAGGGAGTGCCCAGGCACTCTGCAAAGGAATCTCAGGCCCCGTTTCTACAGAGACACTGCGAGAGTAAAGGTTAGAGTTGGGTATTGGTTTGGCCTCCCATTTACATGAAGACTGTGTTTCAGCCATAGACTGTATATATTAACGGACAGAGTCATGTCTATCTCCGCCGTTCAAACAAATGGGCCAAAAATTGTGCTCTACTGGCGCAATCCACAATGGCCGCGAGTGGTCCCGCCCACAAGAAAATTGTGAAAAAACACACCTGCGCATGCGTCAGCCGGAACGAGCTCCATTCATTTAACGAGAGACTTCAAAAATTCACAGCGACTAAACTAGAGTGGTCCAAAAAAATGCACTCCCCTCAGCATTGACACACATGTGGAACGGAGCTTCGGGCCAAGAGACAACTTTTGGACCATCCTGTAAAAACGTTTTCGAGAGGTAAGAAGATGTTATATGTTAGCATTGGCTAATTTTTATTCCGGATCCACCCCCACAGGCCCGAGGTGGTATTGCAAGCCTGTCAGCGCACATAATTTTGGCCACTTTTGAGCCGGGACCCGCCCCCACTTATCATTACCCAAAGCTCATTACCATAGGTGAGGGAGAAAACGAAGTTTGTCTGGTAAATCTGGTAAAACCTTCGGCTCAGTTCCCTTTTTACCACAACGATCCGATACAACAACTGCATCACTGCGCACGCTGCACCGATCCGCCTGTCAATCTCATGCTCCATCCTTCCCTCACTCGTGAACAAGACCCCGAGATACTTAAACTCCACCACTTGAGGAAGGACCTCTCCACCCACCTGTAGAGATTTGGAGTTGCTGAT